CTAACCCTTTCCCGACGCCCTCCCGAGGAGCAGCCTCGCTGTCCCGGGCCAAGCGGGAGGACAGGGAAGAAGGCAACGGGGAGCGCCTCGTGATGCCAGGCCAGCCGGTCGCCTCGCCAACGCCAAGCCCCCCCGCTTTCCCCTCCCGCTGGCCCACCGCACACGCTCCGTCCGCCACCCTCACCTCCTCAGGGATGGCGGAGTCTCCTCCCGCGCCGCCGCCGCTCCTTGCTAAAACCATTCATCAGTTGTTGGAGCTCTTCAGCAGAATGGGCAACAACAGCTGCATCACCGGTAAAGAGTTAAGTCCCACATGCATTTCATACTTAGCCAGTTTTGCACCAAAGAACACTGGCATATGATCTACCCAGTTTGTTGGGCTATTGTTTTTGCTTTGTCATCATCCTTTCCATTTTCATAACATCTATACCTGCAGAGGAGTCCTGGAGCACTTAGAAGCTCATCTTGCTTGATCCAGTAAAGGTGCTACTGAACCCAACCTTTTGTTTTTACATCTGGATCACACAGCTAGTTTGATTTTTTTTTTTTTTGCTTTGTGTGGTTGCTATTTTCTTTTTAAAACTTGAAATGGGATAGCTTCATTCTTTCGGCAGTGGAACTGTAAAATTTAAGTTGAATGTATAGTTATGGGGGGGGGGAGAAGAGGACTGGCCTCCCAGAAAAGGGGTGGACGGATATCACATTGTTGCCTTCCTAGCTTGTGCTGTGCCTTGTGCTCTGGTTTGAGTGTTGAGGGGCTGAGAGGAGACTGCTTTGTAGCAACCCGTAGCCTTCATTTCCTCCAAAAAGAAAAGGAACTGAAAGAAACTATTATAATAACTACTATTGAGAAAGTAAAGAACTGCATTTTTAAATCTTTTAGTTATTGTAGTAACTACTTACTTGTTTAAGACTTTACAAGTAGTACTCTAATGATACATTTTAAAAATGTAGTATTCTAAATTCTGCCTCCCAGATAGAGTACACTCCCATCACCAACTAGCTTCACTATTGGGAGAGTGGCTGATGTCACCCAACACATGTGCTGTTATTCCATGTGTTGCCTCTTGCAGAGTTCATTAGTTGAAAAGCCAAATAAACCTAAGAATAAACAGCAGCGGTGACATTAAAATGAATCCCATGAAATATTTACAGCGGGTTTTTATGACTAGTAAGATTATGCAAAGTGCAGTGGAGAGGCCCTAATGGGTATAAACCCCAGGACTTAGTCCACTTATTTTAATAGCTTCCCAAAATAAAGTAGTTCTGACTTGCTACTATTAGCATCACCTACTTTGATATAGTGCTTTTTACACTTGATTTTGTGGTGCTTTGTGTAAGATATTTTTAATGTTTCAAGCAATAGGGGAATAAACCAGTGGCTCGCAGGAGAGCATGTTAGAAGTGTCTTTTACATCAGTCTACTTGTGACACTTTTCTTGAGGCTCACTTAAATCCACTTCCTGCTTAGTTTCATCATTCCTAGTAGGGTGACTACTGAAGAGCCAGAGAGGTGAAATGTTATGTTTTCCTTTTTAATTAATTCATTATTTATAGAATGCTTTATGAAGTCTAGGTGCTACTGAATGATGTAAATAAAAAGTTTGCATATGATCCATGAATAAAAACAAAATCTGCAGTTAGATAACATTAGTAATATTAACAACAAAACAACAACATGCCATTAAGTCATTTCCCAGTTATAGACACTTCCCAGGCTTTCCCAGGTATAAAATACTCGAAAGTAGTTGATCATCTCTTTCTGGTGCTGCTTTACAACTGTACAGTTTGTCCGTGACCTTACAAAATGACCCTTCTTCTAGGAAGCATAGCAAGGAAGCAGTTTCCTGACCCCTTTTCCCAGGCAGGTGCTCTAGCCAGCTCACCAGTCCCAACATCTTTATTAGCCCCTTTATTGACAGCTTGATAAGGTCACTAAAATGTCACCAGTAGGGCTCACTTTTGAGTTCTGTAGGTCTCCTTGGCAGGGTAGAAAGTACAGCATCTGGATGCTGAAGGAAGAAAGAAAACCCTTAAAAAAATCTGGCCTGGTGTAGTTATTTTAATATTTCATTCATTCATTCGATTTATATACCGCCCATCTAGAACGTGTCTACTCTGGACGGTTTAATAAACTGACTTCTACAGTGAAGATTATAGATTCAGTGAAGATTCAGCTTTAGCTATGCAAGCTAATGCAGTGGGGTGGGGGTTTAGCAGATCACGTGGATTCGATCTTACAGCTGAAGATCTACAGACCTTACAGCATAAAGGCTTCTGCAGTTTAACCCACAGCGCCACCACATCCCTGTAGAGAATTATCTACTACTGGTCTAAATCATCTTTTTGTTATTTTTTGTTATTTCAAATATTTATGTAACTATTTTTAATTTAGTTCAAAGTGGCACTATGCTAGATCAATGTTACAGATAGAAAAAGAAATGTAAGAGTTTTGGCAGTGGGGGAGATGCCATGGTCTTGGCATCCAATACTTGACGAACCTCACAGCCACAATTTACTCTGACAGTGGTGACCAAAATGATTTTTGAAAATGCAATCAGAATCAGAGCAAAATAAACAACACCACCATGGGAGTTTAATACCCCTCCCCCACTTTCCAGCCAAAACAAAAAAAAAGACATGCTTAAAT